AATTTGGATAAGGGTTTGTTAATTTTATTGCTTTTCTCAAAAAACAACTCTTTGTTCTGTTATTTGTATTGTTTTTTGTTTGTTTCTAATTTATCGATTTCAGCATTGAGTTTGATTGTGTTTTGTGGTCTACTCCTTTTGGGTGTACTTTCTTTCTTTTATTCTAGAGTTTCAGGTGTGCTGTTAAGTTACTAATATGATATTTATTCAATTTTTATGTAGGTTCTTAATGTTATGAATCTTCATTGTCCCCCCTAAGTTTGGGTATGTTGTGTATTCATTTTCACTAAATTCTAGAAAGTATTTTTTTTCTTTATTTCTGTCTTGACCAATTTTTCATTCAGTAGGGAGTTGTTTGGCTTCCATGCATTTGAAAGTTTTCTGTTGTTTCTATTGCTATCTACTTTTAACCCATGATGGTCAGATAAGTTGCATGGTGTATTTCAATTTTCTTGTATCTGTTGAGACTCATTTTATAACCAAGTATATGGTCAATTTTGGAGAATATTCCATGAGGTTCTGAGAAGAAGATATATTCTTTTATGTTTGAGTGAACTTTTCTGTAAATATCTGTTAGGTTCACTTGGTTTACAATTTCAGTTAGCTCTAACATTTCTGTTTAGCTTTTGATTGGATTACCTGCTGTTGGAGAGATTTGGGTATCAGTGTGTGAGGGCCAATATGATTTAAGTTATATTAGTATTTCTTTTATGAATGTAGGTGCCCTTGTGTTAGGTCATACTTGTTAAGAATTTCATTGTCCTCTTGTTAGATTTTCCTTTGATGAGTATGTAGTATCTTTCCCTATCTCTTCTGATCAGTTTTGGTTTGAAGTCTACTTTATCAGACATTAAAATGGCTATGCTAGCTTGGTTTTTAAAATGCATTTGCTTAGAATATCTTTTTCCATTCTTTAACTATGAGGTGATGTCTATCCTTTATGTTAAGATGTATTTTTTGGATGTAGTAAAAGAATGGATCCTGTTTTTGTTTTGACTTATGATATTTTTATTACTTTAATTTTAAATAGTGTGCTTCACATGTCCCTCTCTCTCCCCTCCTCCCGCACCCTCCCCAACATCCCCCCCAGCTTCCCATCCTATCCCCATTTCCTTCCACATAGGGGATATCCAGACTCTGTCATTGCACTCAGGGCAGGGTCCAGGCACTCCCCTAAAAGTCCAGGCTGAGAGAGCATCACTCTTTGTGTTATGGACACACGAAGTCCATTTGTATGCCAGGAATAAACACTGATCTACTGCCCAGGGCCCCATAGGTTGCCCAGGCCTCCTCACTGATTCTCACACTCAGGGGATCTGGATCAATCCCATGCTGGCCTCCCAGCTGTAGGTCTGGGATCCAAGAGCTCCCCCCTTGTTCAGATCAGCTAACTCTGCTGGTTTCGCCAGCCCAGTCTTTGCCAATTTGCTCATCACTCCTCTCTCTCTGTCACTGGGTTCCATGGGTTCAGTTCAGTGTTTAACTGTGGGTGTTTGCCTCTGCTTATATCAGTCACTGGATAAAGGTTCTAGGATGGCATATAGTGTAGACGTCAAGTTCATTATCAGGAATGGGCATTTAAGGTGGTCTCTCCACTATTGCTTAGCTTGCCAGTTGGTGTCATCCCTTTAGATCACTAGAGGTCTCACTGGTGCCAGATCTGTCTTCTAACCTATGACTCTCTCTTTTATGGTATTTCTCATCCTGTTCTCCCCATATTCTACTCCACACTCAACCTTCCTGTTCTCCCATGACCTACTCTCTCTTCCTCTTCTCCCCATCTCTTCTTCAGAGCTCCCTCCCCCCCACCACCACCTCTCGCCTTATTCCCAATCTGTTCAGGAGATCTTGCCTCATTCCTCTTCTCTTGGGTACCATGCATATCTTTTAGGTTCTTTCCTGTTTCCCAGACTTTCTGTCAGTGGAAGTGCAGACTGGCACTATCCTGATCCATGTCTAAAGTCCATATATGAGTGAGTACATACCATGTTTGTCTTTTTGTGAATGGGTTACCTCACTCAGGATGGTTTCTTCTAGTGCCATCCATTTACCTGCGAATTTCAAGATTCCATTGTTTCTTTCTGCTGAGTAGTACTCCATTGTGTAAATGTACCACATTTTCTCTATCCACTCTTCAGATGAGGGACATCTAGGTTACTTCCAGGATCTAGTTATTACATATAATGCTGCTATGAACATAGTGGAATACACATCCTTGTTGTATGAATGGGCATCTTTTGGGTATATGCCTAAGAATGGAATTGCTGGGACTTGTAGTAGATTGATTCCCATTTCCCTGAGGAATCTCCATACTGATTCCCAAAGTGGGTGTACAAGTTTACACTCCCATCAGCAGTGGAGGAGTGTTCTCCTCTCTCCACATCCTCTCCAGCATAAATTGTCATTGGTGTTTTTGATTTTAGCCATTCTGACAGGAGTAAGATGGTATCTCACAGTTGTTTTTGATTTGCATTTCCCTGATGGCTAAGGATGTTGAGCACTTTCTCAAGTGTCTCTCAGCCATTTTAGACTCCGCTATTGAGAATTCTCTATTTAGTTCCGTACACCCCCTTTTTAATTGGATCCTTTGGTGTTTTGGAGACTTGTTTCTTGAGTTCTTTGTAAATTTTGGAGATCAGCCCTCTGTCAGATGTGGGATTAGTGAATATCTTTTCCCATTCTGTGTCCTTTGCCTTACAGAAGCTTCTCAGTTTCAGGAGGTCCCATTTGTAATTGTCAATCTCAGTGTCTGGGCTACTGGTCTTATGTTCAGGAAGTAGTCTCCTGTACCAACTCATGGAAGAGTATCTCCCACTTTCTCTTCTAAGAGTTTCAGTGTGGTTGGATTTATGTTGAGATCTTTGATCCATTTGGACTTAAGTTTTGTGCATGGAGATAGACATGGATTGATCCGCATTCTTCTACATGCCAGCCTCCAGTTATGCCAGCACCATTTGTTGAAGATGCTTTCTTTTTTCCATTGTATAGTTTTAGCTTCTTTGTCACAAATCAAGTGTTCATAGTTGTGTGGGTTAAAATCAGGGTTTTCAATTCGGTTCCATTAGTCTACCTGTCTATTTTTGTGCCAATACCAAGCTGTTTTCAGGACTATAGCTGTATAATAGAGCTTGAAGTCAGGGATGGTGATGCCTCCTGAAGTTCCTTTATTGTATAGGGTTGTTTTGGCTATCCTGGGCCTTTGTTTTTCCATATAAAGTTGATTATTGTTCTTTCAAGGTCTGTGAAGAATTGTGCCAGAATTTTGATAGGTATTGCATTGAATCTGTAGACTGCTTTTGGCAAGATTGCCATTTTTATTATGTGGATCCTATCATGGGAGATCTCTCCATTTTCTGGTATCCTCTATGATTTCTTTCTTTAGAGACTCAAAGTTCTTGATATACAGATCTTTCACTTCTTTGGTTAACATTATCCCCAGATATTTGATGCTGTTTATGGCTATTGTAAAGGGTGATGTTTCTCTGATTTCTTTCTCAACCACTTTATCATCTGTTTTTGTATCCATTCTGTTAGTCTGTGTCTTTTTTATTGGGGAATTGAGACTGTTGATGTTGAGAGATATGAATGAGCAGTCATTGTTGATTCCTGATTTTTGCTGTAGTTGTGTGTGTGTGTGTGTGTGTGTGTGTGTGTGTGTGTGTGTGTCCTCTTTTGATTTTCTGATCTCAGATTATTTATTCCTTGTGTTTTCTCAAATGTGGTTAAACTCTTTAGGAATGAATGGGTATGAGCTAGGACAGGGAATGGTGGCTCCACAGGAGGGAGGCAAGGAGGAAAGCTGGGTCTCCTCCTAGGATTTGCTTAGTTCACTGGGGAATGGATCAGAGACCACAGCAGGTAATCTGCCACAGAGGTTGGGGCTGGAGAAGAGGGGAGACAGCGAAGATCTGCAGTTAGCCTACTTGTTCCTCTGGCAGGCTTGGCTATCCAGTGCCCAGGAGTTGCAGGCTGGGATAAAGCAATGAGTTTGGGGAAGGGAGGTTGGAGGGGAATATCCGTGTGATCCACTGGAGATGGGAGCAGGGAGGGAAGGATGCAGCAAGTGGTCTGCTACAGATCTGGGGATGAGACTGAGAGAAGGGTTTGGAGAAGGTGAAGGAAGATGGAGCCCGGTAGTTAGTCAGCCTGCTTCCCCAGCCAGAGTCCAACTTGGTTTTTTCAGTGTTATGTCATCACAACCAATTCAGATGAGAAGGAGGGTTTAGATGAACCAATTAGTCTCCAAAACATCAAGATCGTCCTAAAATAATACAATAATATTAGCTAAGAATAGATGTAGTATTAGTGTGTCTTGTAAAGAACCATATATGCTATAGGCTGGGTAAGATGGTTCACCAAGCAAAGGCATCTGTCTCTAAGCCTGACCATCTCAGTTGGATTCCTAGTATCCACTGTGGCAAGAGAGAATGGACCCTTAAAAGCTTTCCTCTAGCTTCCACATGTGCCCAAACATGAGTACACAGAAAACTACAAACAAAATTAAAATTGTTTTACCCATTACAGGTGTCCACTGAAAGTGGAAGTTAGGTAAAGTCTTTTTATACCTCAGGTTCCTTAGCTATGCACATGACTATTTGGACTGTGAGAACCTATGTCTGGCCAAGGGAGGTAGATCACTGTATCCCACGGGAAAAGCACCTGTGGGATTTCTTTCCCCCGCTCATTTATTGCTTTTACCACTGTAAAAAGCTGGAAAAATGAACTTCCACATTATGGAATATATATCCCTGTTATTTCTTAAATGCTTGCTTGCCTCTACAGGTGGGCAGATTCAGGGAACTCCCCTTTACCTCTATTGTTTCATTCCCTACAGCAGATTTTCATCTGGTCCATGGTATGTCCACACATGGCTCTGTACTAGGTCCTGGCTGTCTGATTATGTTGCTGTAAAGAGGACCATGGGCACTTATCTCTTTGTGCTTCTCAGTCAGTCCTCCAACTTTTGCCCTGTAAGATTATTTAGGGATGTCTCTCACCAGGTGATCAAAGAAGAAAATCTACAGAAAAACAGTCAAGAAGTTGGTACCTACATGTTACTCAAGTTTGCTAAGCTGCGGGATGAATTTGACATCATTGGGGATGTCCGAGGCAAAGGCCTTATGATGGGCATAGAGATGGTTCAAGACAAGGTAATGATCTGCAGATGTTTGGGTGGCTGCCTGGTCCCAGTAGCGAGTAATGTAGAAGCTAATAGGGCTGGATGCACACATATTTCTCAAACTGTGAAGCTGTCCATTACTATATATAATATACTACCAAGACCCATGGGAAAGGTGAGTAGGAAGCCTTGAGGGAACAGCAAGCTGAATGCACTGAAAGATACCACCTTCCACCCCAGAGACTGACCCATTAGCAGGATCTTTCATGGCTTGAACATCTACATCTCAGAAACCAGATAGAGTGATGATGATCCTTATGACCTATTTGTGAAGGAAACTGGGGAGACCAGGGTCAGAAAAGCCACGTGAGATTTTTAAGGAGGATTGGAAGGGGTTCCAAGGCAGCTAGCCATCTATGGGTCATTTTAAAGATGGTCCACACTAAGCCTTTCCAGATATACCAATTTGTCCCACAATAAGTACCATGTTTTTGTAGCGTGAAAGGTCTGTGGGTAATACATGTACACTTAGACTTGAAATGGAAACTAGAGGCAAATATTTGTGCTCATCGACTGAGAATGCAGGGACACAGAAATGATGCAAACTCCAGCCCAATGTCGCCAAAGTTAATATAGCATGTCTGAGTCCCTGGTAAGAGACCAACCTCAGTGTCTAGAGATCTGATATGGCTCCCAAGCACTTACTTTTCCTGACCCTGACAGTTGGAGTCTTGAGGGAAGAGCAATTCCACAAACATGGAAAATGCTTAGCTTCACATCAGCTTCATGGCCATGCTGTGGCCTGGGAAACATTTAGTTGAATTTGCCCTTGTGCAACTTCTAAGCCACTTACTGGACTTCAGAATGCACTCTTTAGCTAGGCAGAACACCATAAAGAGTTGAAGATGATTTCAATACAAACCAAACAGATCCCAAATCAGCTACTAAAGGACCAACTCCCCAGGGTAGCATTCAGCAGAGTCAGGATTCACTTACTGCCTGCATGGAATTTCATTTTATCTGAAGGATTTTTTTTTGATGAAGCAGAATAAAAGCCAAAACTTTTAATACCCACCCTATCTCCCACAAAACCCTCTGGTTCAGCAATTAACAGCTTTATTTAATTAGGGAAACATTGATTGCTTAAGTTTTGTTTTGTTATGGTTCCTCCTGGTCCCATGCCTAGGGAAATAATTCTTCTAACCTTTCAAAACCAAACAGAAAACTTTTTTTAAAAAAATATATTCACAGATGAGTCGCCAGCCACTTCCTAAGACGGAAGTCAATCAAATCCATGAGGACTGCAAAGACATGGGGCTCCTAGTGGGGAGAGGTGGCAATTTCTCTCAGGTAAGAAAAGAAAAGTGTACTTCTTCCGTGTTAAGAATATTCACATGTACAGTCAGAATAAATGGACAAGAGACAGCTTCTGCCACTAGATGGTGATGTGGTAAAGTGATTCAGTTATTCATTTTTTGGAGGCAAAAGAGAAGCATTAGAAAGGCCACAGAAACCAGATAATTCACAGCATGGGTGATAATAGAATCATAACATCCACGCAACTTAAACGTACATCTGCATTTTATCGTGTATCAATTAGTTCTCACCCCTGAGAAAACAATCACAGTCATGCTTAACTCTGCCCTGAAGTCGGACTTTGTGAATCTGCTCAGTTTTAGTGGCCATTACGGCAGACAGCAATCTAAGATTCACGGCTTCCCTATATGATCCCATTATAAAAGGATCAGGGACCATCCTAATTATGGTCCCTGGTGCAGAACTAAAGAACAGCCACTCAGGGGATTATTCCAAGGCAAGGATCACCTTACCCTCTTCCTGGCAGTTAAACTCTTTCTACTGCCAGGACCCTGGTCTGACCCTGTACTACAAGAATGAGATGATGATGATGATGATGATGATGATGATGATGATGATGATGATGAAGAAGATGCACAACACCACCTGCCTCTAAGACCCCACAGCATCAGGTCTCTCACCAGGATGGGGTCCTATGGTAGAGACTCAAGAATGAGAGTGACTTCTGTTTCCCATGAATATTCTTTTTCTCTCTTAAATTTCTCCCATTTCAAAACATTTTCTTTCATGAAACATGATCATTGCATATATTTAGGGAGTATACCACGATGTTTTGATATATGAGTATGGACAGTGTTATAATGCTCAAGAGATGATGCTTATCTGTCTTCTCCCATATCATTTCTTTGTGATGAGAACATTCAAAATTCTTTCTTCTTTACATTCTTAGTTGGGGTTTTATTGCTGTGAAGAGACACCATGTCCACAGCAACTCTTACAAAGGAAAACATTTAAATGGGGCTGGCTTACAGTTCAGACGTTTAGTCCATTATCATCATGGCAGGTGGCATGGAGGCAGACATGGTGCTGGAGAAGGAGCTGAGATTCTACATCCTGATCCACAGGCAGCAGACTGAGGCACACATCCTCCTACAAGGCCACACCTATTCCAACAAGATCACACCTCCTAATAGTGTCACCCCATGTGGGCCAAGCGTTCAAACACATGAGTCTGTGGTGAGGTTAGGACCGAAACCTAGGGAAGAACTCCCCTCAGTACACAGAACGGAAGTGGAGGGAAGTGGAGACCGGAAGGGTTAAATGTAAGCCAGGAGTTTAGAGAAGTATGGGATTTCAGAAGCAGAAGACAAGACTGAGGAGGAAAAAGGATGCCCAAATGTGATGCACAGATAACCAGGAAGGAGCTGGCCTAGGAAACGCCCAGGGGATCTCATGCCTTGCAGGTAACCTTAGTATAGTAGTATCAGAAAGCTAATAGGACAGAAACCATACTGCAGTGGGTTGGAAAGATGAAGACTATCAGCAAGTCTCTTAAATAAGATTGAGTAAAAGTAGAGGAATGTAGCAACCCAAATTTCTAATCACAGCACTCAGGAGACAGAGGCAGGCAGATTTCTGTGAATTCAGCCAGCCTGGTCTACAAAGCAAGTTCCAAGGTAGCCAGGGCTGTTACAAAAAGAGAAACCTTTCTTGGAAAAAAAGATTGAGTAAAATCAGGAAGAAAGTGTATGTATTACACTTGTTTGTCAACTCAGACTTTTGCTCGGTGCAGTTTGCATTGGGATTATGAAAGATATAATCATCTCACTGATACTGGCTGGGCAAAAGTTGAAGGAAGGTCAAAGATTTGAGAGGACATTGGAGTGTTTCCTGGAATGAAAGTGATAGTCCAGGGTCAAGAGCTGCGGTGGACCACTTAGAACTGAAGAATAAAGACACTTTCTGAGCCTTTAGGAAAGATAGAAGGATGCATGTGGACACAAACTAGTTTAAAGTCTTTGTCTGCAAGGTTCAGCTTCCTTCAAGGAAACAGGAAGGATGATTGCTCATGAAATAGAGTGGGAAGCCTAGAAGTTGCTAAAAAGAAACTAAGAAGAAAACTACAGGTTTGGAAGTAGCAACGGGAAATAGCAACTGGCTTATTCAGGCATTGACCTGGAATATGAGTAGATACAGAATAGTGGAGATGATAGTAGTGGGAATTGGGAAAACTGATGTTTTGTGATGGCAGAAACGGAGTATTTGGGAGGTGACAAAGTAAGACCTCAGAGAAGGGGGGAGAAGAACAAGCAGGTAAACAGGTAGCAAAAAGAAAAAAACTCAAAGCAAGATGACGTAAGGATTTGTGTAAAGACTTGAAGGTGACAAAGCCCAGAAGGGATGAGGAGGAAGTCAACCTAGTGAGAGAAATGTCACAAATATGATTTAAAAGTGAATGAATATGGTTTTGGATTCTTGGTATAGCCCATTCCTGGGAGTCCCATCTGATGATTTGAGCTGTTTTCTCTCCTCCTCAGACATTCCGCATTGCTCCCCCGATGTGCATCACCAAGCTGGAAGTGGACTTTGCATTTGAAGTTTTTCGAGCAGCCTTAATTCAACACATGGAGAGAAGAGCTAAGTAAGATTTCTACAAATGAAGAACCACAGGCCTCAGGACCTTCTCAGCTGTGGGCAGAGATGAATTTGAAGGCTGTTGAAACTACAAGTAGTAGATGAAAAACTGCAGCTCTCTGTAGTAATTGTAAAAGATCAGTAGGTACTGTCCATACTTTCAAAGAAGCCCCCATTCTCCTGTGAAATCCAGTGTTTATCCCTGGCTCACAGAGTAAGTCCTAATCTGTGTAGATTAGTCTGTGTTGTTTCCCATTGCATTCACTGGTTTGTAAATGAATACAAGGCATATGTGTCACTGATGAATCCTGAAGGAAAACCTTCCTGTGCTAACACTTCTGAGGAAGCATTTCTTCATCCTTCATGCTTCTTGTCACACTGGAAATATTGGGTCTCATGATGGAATTTCTCAATTCACATCAGGCATCTGGAAGCCATGAAGATGAAGTGTAGTCACTATGCTGTATCTGGAAAGTGGTTAGAAGCTGAGTGATTGGTAATATCAATGAATCATTGATCACAAAACTTGGAGCCATCCTATCTCAGGGTTTCTTGACTTCTAAAATAATAAGTTCAGTGTGCTCCTTATGACTTTAAATATTTTCCATTGTTGCAGTCCAAGGACATCTTGGGAAATAAGGCAGAAAATACCTTAGGATGATACCTTTAACTCCCTGAAAAATACCTATCATAGCTTATTTTTCTTCTCTGTTAACCCTGTCATTATCTCATCTTCGTCTAAATCTTTATTTCTACTATTGAAAATTCTTACATAATTTCCAAAAGTCTAGTCATTAATATGTGCAATCATAAATATTCTTTCCTATAGGTGTTACCTGAGCTGTGTCTTACAAGTGGCAATTTTTTTCAATTTAACATACTCACTGAAATGTACTTAGCAGTAAATTTCACATAATTACCATAAATGAGAACATATACTACTTACAAAGTAACCATGAAAACAGAGCAAACAAGTCTTGGGTATCCAGTCTATAAGGTGCTTGCCACACAAATACAAGGACTTCTGTTATATCACTCACATGTGGGAGTGGACACTTATGTTCCAGTCCTGGATAGGCAGATAAGAGAATCCCAGGGACTCACTCTCCAGGCAACCTAGCCAAATTAGCAAATCCCAGAACATTAAAAGAAACAAGGTGGAAAGCCCTGAGGAATGACACCCCAGGTTGACCTCTGGCCTCATCACTCACACACACACACACACACACACACACACACACAAAGTTAATAATTTTTAAAAATCCCATTCCCGGTATTTTTTCTGGTGATGCAGCATAGTGACTACACTTCATCTTCATGGCTTCCAGATGCCTGATGTGAATTGAGAAATTCCATCATGAGACCCAATATTTCCAGTGTGACAAGAAGCATGAAGGATAAAGAAATGCTTCCTCAGAAGTGTTAGCACAGGAAGGTTTTCCTTCAGGATTCATTGGTGACAAATATGCCTTGTATTCATTTACAAACCAGTTAAAGTAATGATAAACAACACAGACCAATCTAGGGCTTATTCTGTGAGTCAAGGATAAACACTGTTCCTGAAGGATGGATTTCTCAGATGAAATATGTTCTCTCCCTATAAACAACATATCCATGTCTGAAACGTTTATGTACATCAACTATGTTGATGACTTTTATATCCCAATTAGCAAATATTATCAGCCTAAAAAATCTTTATAAAAAATGTTAAGAGTATATGAAGTCTACTACAAAATAATGCTGGCAAACTGATTAAGACCTTTTCCTAAACAAAAGCTGAAGGTCATCTGAAGAACTAACTTCATCAGCATGTGACTGGATGTATATTAAAAGCATGTCCCAGTTTGAAACTCTGTCCTGATTGTCTTATCTAACACATCCTACATCTTGCTACCAGATTTGTTTCCATCCGGCATTGACTTAAACATAGCAATCTCTAGTGCAAAGCCTCCTACCTTCTCTGTAGTGTCACTCAGACAAAGTGAAAAATCACTTTTGCATGGAATGCCATACCCTCAAGAATCCAAGAAGAGCCAGAAATGTTCAGTCTGGCACCATGGAAAGATCACTGGATTAAGACAGCAAAGGACTTGCATTCTGTAGTTGGTTCTTCTATAAATGACCCTGAAGATGCAATAAATGACCTTAAACAAGCCTTTTAGTCTTTCTAAGCCCAGTTTCTTTCCAGGAGTATTAACTTACCATTGTTACCTTCAGAAGTTATCTTGGGAGTGGATATAAAACTCTGAAAATGATGAACCCTGCAAAGGCGAAATCCCTTCCCTTCAAACCATATTTCCTTCACTGCTAATATTTTCTCAGGAAGAATTTCTGTGTCCTTTTCATACTTCCTTCCCTCGCAGGCAAGAGCAGCCACCAGGGTCTCATTCCTGCCACTCATTCCTTAAAAATGGCCTCACCAAAAGATCACATGGTTGACTTCTTTACTGCCAAACACACCTCCTTTGCAGATGTCTATCCTAAGCAACTTCTTCTTGCATAGTACCTTTCTTGAATTCTGAAATGTGGCTCTTCCACTTCAGATGGCTCTTTGTTTTTTTTCCTAGGCAGACCTCGACGTGATGACTAAGTCCTGACCTTAGGTAACTCTCAGTCTCTTTCCTAAAAAACCTCCACTTGATGATCATGTACAGAATCACCATCTCTTCTACCATGTTGTGTTACCTCCCTATAAGCAACATATCTATGTCTGAAACATTGATGTACTTTAACTACGCCGATGACTTTTAAATCTGAGATGTTCTCTGAGCTCCAACTCCAAGACTCCGCTTCTGGATCCTCCTGCTTTGGAAACCACAATGGAACATTTGAAGTTCTAGGTCTCTCTCTTCTGTTGAATCTTCTTTATTGATAGTCTTTTTAACTCAGGTTCATAATTCAGGTCTTCAATTTTTCTTTCTCCAAGTTATCCTTTAGCTCTTTGTTTGATTAAATGTCACCAATGCTTTCTCCAATATAACTTTTCAACATGGCCCATTTATATTAAAGCTGACTTAATTTAGGCAATCATATTTGCTAAACAACTTAATCTACCTCTTACCTGGTATACCTCATTAGGTTGGACTTGTATTGTAATCCTTGGTTTTCCTCCAGGAGCTGCCCTTCATTTTTCAATGCTGTAGGGAGTCACTGGAAGTATCCAAGATGAATTTCTGGGCCACTGAAGCTTCAGAGCCCTTCCCTACCTGTTCTCCATATAAGCAACAAAGGCACCCTCAATTCATGGATAGTTTGTGTCTCTTGTCTCTCAAAGCTTTTGAGACTTCCCTGTTATTAATGGAATACTGTTCAAACTTTTTTTGTCTTTCTTTCAAGACAGAGTTTCTCTGTATATTCTTGGCTGTCCTGAAACTCACTGTGTAGATCAGGCTGGCCTTGAACTCAAAGAGATCTACCTGCCTCTGCCTTCTGAGTAGTGGGATTAAAGGCATGAATCACCACTGCCCAACCAAACTCCTACTACGTAGCTTTCACACACTTGAATGACACCTAATTATGGCTTTATTTCCACCATTCTTACTGTATCACGAACCATAATTTGGCACCTGTGTTCACTGAAGTGAGAGTTCAGACAAGAAAGTAATGCTTCCTGCTGATTCTTCAAAACCTTTCTGTTCCCAACACTACTTTTCCAAATGAAAAGAGAATGCCAGTGAAAATAAAATTCATGGTAATCATTTAGATATTAGTAGGATATGAAGATGAAACAATGAAACTCAATTTAAGGCTAAGAATAATACCAAACCCTTTGGCTGGGGTCCCTACAGATTGCAGAAAAATATACAATATACATGATTTTTGTCTCTTCCATTTTCTGGGAAGAGGAATTGAGGGATTTAGTCATTCAAATAAGGTCACAGAGTTCACTCCTTGCAGTTTTCTGAACCCTACAGAATCATGTATATACCTCACAGTATACTCTGCTGATCTCCTACCTCCACCTACAAGGGGTCACTTGTATTATTAGCCTCTGTTTTGTTGTTGTTTTGCTTTGCTTTTTGGTTGTTGTTTTTGCTTTACTAGAACAGAACACTTGAGACTAAGTAGTCTATGAAGAAAAGATGTCTACTTGAGTTCTTAGTACCAGAGAATGGAAAACACAAGGTTGGGAAGCATGTGTGATGAAGATGGCTTCAAGCCACAGTGGAAAGCAAAGAGGCACATGGTGTATATAGAAGAGAAACAGATGAGGTGAACCGGCTTTATTACAAACGGCTGTGGCAGTAATTAACCCAGCCTGGCAAGAGCACACTCTCACAAGACAAAAGCAGTTATCTGCTCATGTGGGTTTAGCCCTCATAACCCAACATCTGCCACTGGGCCTCCAAATACTGCTGCACTAGAGACAAAACAATCAAATCCTAACACAAAGCCAGCAATGCAATTCCGAAAGGCAGCCAGGTTCAGGCCACCGTCTCTGGGCTTTACAGGATGCATGGCTTTACCAAGATCCCTGATAACCAGGAGAAACTGTAACTGTTTCTTAAAAAGAGTTATGCGCATCACAGGCCTGGAGCAGGAAGGGCATGACTTGGTGCCTGAGAGCATGGATGGCCAGTCATTCCTCTTCCTGGTTTGTAAATACGAAGGCATCCTTCTTTGTTCCATTTGGAGTCGTGGGCAGGAGTTTAGCACCACCATTTTTCTCCCTTCCATTTTCTGCTCTACCCACAGGAGGTGGGATATAAGCCAGGTTGCATAAGACAAGGAGCTTATACTCTTGCCAACTTTTCCCCCTTTCTTGCTAAAACAGCCTTAAGTGAAGATAATGAATACTTAGCTCAAGTAAACTTCTTTCCACTGGTGAAACATACTGATAGATAAGCATGTGATTTGAATACAGTGGTAAAATGTTAGCAACTGTTTTAATATTTGGAATATCCATCAACTCAGAAAGGCGTAAGGCTTTAAAATCACACCAAGCTTGGCTTATAATATTAACAAGAATTATTGTGAAGCAACAACCCACCAACAGGTGACAAAATAATAA